CTTGCGCTGATAATAATTTAATGAAACACAGATGATTCTCAGGCAGCCAATGAGTATGGATCCTTTCAGGGTTATCAACGAATTTAAAAAGTACTTGGAATTCATAGTGAATTTTAAATTTGAGGCCAAAGTGATTAAATGGAAATTCTCCAAGTCAGCTATGCTTCCTGTTTGGCTATTTTGTCCTTAAATTTGAAGTTAACTTTAAAGTCCTACTGTAGTGAATAACCCTGAAAGTTTGTAGCAAATATGTACATATTATTGCCCAGTGGACTACAACAAGGGAGACATAGTCTAACAGCCTGCAGAGCTTTACCCGTTTGCTCCAAAACAATGCACTAACTATACCCCAGCCCTAAAAGGGTTTAAAGGAATATTTGAAGCACCATAACAGTACGCAGCAGTAGTTATGGTGCTAGTAGTGCCCTTGCAGCTTAAATAGTGATAGAAGGAGTTTCCATTAACTCCACTTTTTTAATCCCGCTGGCTGAGATGGTAAGGTGAGCACTCTCAACCAATGACCTAAGCCCTGGAATACTGGTTTAGTTCATTGCAGGAGCTTTTGGGCACAATCTCAAAAAGTTTGACTACTAATCCTGTGAGGGCGGCAGGAAAATTCAGACACCATAACTACAACTGCCCGGTTGTGCTTTGGAAGGTGTATGTGAGATATAATATGGACTGAATCTATAGGAATTTTTTTAACTTAGCAACGGCCCTGGCAATAAAACACATCCAAAGAACAAACCAACATCAGTATAACAAGGTAAATTTGAAGAACAGACTTTATTTTTGTAATAAAATGAACAATATATAAAATAAATATTTCTAGGAAAACAATGGTGGTTCTGGCATGCTAAGTGTGAATTCTGCAGGTGAAGGCCAGTGAACCTTGCATGTTGTTAATGTGCATTTCACTCTGTATTTTATTTGGCAATGATGAAAATAGCTAAATCATGTTTTTATGCTACCACTAATGTGTTTGTTTCATAAAATGGGTGTGCCTTTTTATCTGAATAAATATTGTTAAAGTTGCCATTAGGAAGTGTGTGAGTGTATGTGAATGTTTGTCTTTGCATAATTGTCTGAATTTGTCTTTGAATAAATGTTTGTGTTTGTGCATGAATATGTATGTCTCTTTCTGTATATGAGTATGTGTTGCTTTGTGAATAAAAGTTGGTTGTCATTGCCTTAATTATTTTTTATGTAAATGAATATGCAGGCTTGTCTTTGTGCATTTGTTGCATATGTCCTTTTGTCCGTGGAATAGAAACATAGAAACTTAGAATGTGATGACAGATAATAGCCATTCAGCCCATTTAGTCTCCAATTTTATGAATGCTTTCATTAGTCTCTTGTATCTAGAATAGCCTTATGCCTATCCCACGCATTTTTAAACTCCCTCACTGTGTTAAACTCTACCACTTCACTTGGAAGGTTATTCCATGCATCCACTACACTCTCAGTAAAGTAAAACTTCCGGATATTATTATTAAACCTTTGCCCCTCTAATTTAAGACTGCCCTCTTGTTGTGACTGTTTTCCTTTTAAATATACTCTTCTCTTTTATGGTGTTGGTTTCCTTTATATATGTAAATGTTTTTATCATATTCTCCTGTCTCGTCTTTCCTCCAAGTTATACTTTCCTCCGAGCTATACATGTTCAGATACTGTGTGGTTTTTTTTGGGGGGGGGGGTTTACTGAACTTTTTTTTTGGATTCCTGTTCTGACTCTTTATGAATTTGGTCAATTGTTTTTGGCCCCTCAGGTTTGTGTCGTGGTACCCAGTTATTTTTCCTCAGGTCCAGCACATCCTGCACCAAAAATCTAATCCTAGAAGAGGTCTTGTTTTTAATAAAGGTATTAAGCTTGTTGAAATAATTGTCCATGCCAGGCTGTGCATTTTCAAGGTGTTTTCCAACTGATGTCAACAACTGGCAGATGCATTCCATGGACTCCTCGGTGTTCTTATTTAGTAGCTTAATAAGGCAGTCTTTTATGGTGGCTTCTGAGAGTAACTTTAATTTAAATAGCTCCCCAATAAATTTGATGTTTCCAAGGGATCGCCTGAGTGCTCTTTTACAGGCATCACTCAATTCTTCCTTTATTCGAGCCTTTTCATTAGGTGATATAGTTGCCTCCAGTTCCTTCTGAAGTTCTTCAATTCTTTCACCACCTTTTTCACGTCTCTCAAACTCCACCTGGCAGAGCCTTATCAGCAGCCTGCGGAATGTAATGCACACGTCACGATTTTCTTCAGTTGGGACTTCAAGCCTCATTAGCCAGTTGCACATGTTTGCATATATAACAGCAAAATGAGGCTCTGCTACTGCTTTTTCAAATATGAGTTCTGCGACTCCTTTAAGTTGATGCTCTGTGTCTACAGAGAGGTCCTTTACCTGGTGAATTAAGTGCTCGAATGTCTGAGGAGTTATCTTATTCAGGATACCGCGAACTTTCCGAAACAGTTCTTCAGCCTTGACTCTACTGGGATCTTCGGTTGCCCTTTTCATGGGAGGTCTCCAAGCTTTTTCACATTTTTGCAGTTTCACATTCTCATTTAGTTCAAGGATTCGTCGATGTTCTTTAACAGGAGCTTGCGGAGACCTCATTTGATGGATTCCCGGTGGCAATCTGCGATTACCCTTAGAAGGGTAGCAGGAATTTGCAGATTGAGGTGTCCAATTTCTGCGAGTTAATTGTGATGGATCCACTGGCCGAAGGTGAGGTCTAATAACCATGCCTTGGTGGATTTTACAGATTTCAGAAAAGTCCTTTGGTTCCTCCGTGATCGATTTGAATTGGAGCAAGAAATTCCTGTCGTAGGATACCCTTTCTACCTTTGCTTTGATATCCAACTTATTTTGGAGTGAAGGTACTGCAAGGTCTTGGCTTTCTGTAATTGGCTTTGGAACCACATCAGCCTTACCAGGTTGTTCTTTTTCTTCTGTTTCTGGCAATCCTTGTTTTTTAGGGTCACAGCTCAGGCTCCTATATGATGCAGGCTGATTATTCTCTATCTCAATTTGCTTCTGCTCAGGGGTGCCCTCTTGCTTAATTAGAAACAACTCCTCATGCTTAACAGTGGGGAAATCCAAAGTCATCTCAGAGGGATAAATCACAGTGGCAGAGTTTACTGGCAGCTCCTCTAACATTTCATTAGTGTGTGGTTTAGCAGGACAAACTGGGACATCAAGAAGAATACTCTGTTCCTGAACTGTGACAGTCTCCAGAGAATCTAAATTAGTAGGCTCAGGATGACAACCTGAAGTGGACTGTGGCAGAATATGAGGTTCGATTGCACAAACATGGCACTCTAGAGAAATGTTGTCTAAACATGTGACAACCTCTGTAGCCTTTAGGGACATAGACTGCACTGAAGGACCAACTGTGACTGGGTCCTGAGAATCTATATTTGTAGGCTCAGATGGACAACTTAACGTGGACTGTGGCTGATCAAGGTTTACTGTCAACTCATCTGTCAATTCACTTGTATGAGGTTCGATAGTACGAAAAGGGCACTCGAGAGAATTGTTGTCTTCTAAACACATGACAACCTCTGTAGGTTCTAGAGACATAGACTGCAGCAAATGACAATGACCTGTGACTGGGTTCTGTGAATCTAGATTTGTAGGGTTAGATGAACTGAAAGTGGACTGTGGATGACTAAGGTTCACTGGCATATCCTCTGTCAATCTATTTGTATGAGGTTCAATAGTGCAAACAGGGCATTCTAGAGAATTGTAGTTTTCTAAACATGTGACAACAGCTGTAGGCTCTAGAGACATAGACTGCAGCAAATGACAAGGAATATCTTCTAGACTTGTGACAAGTTCAGGCTGTAGAATAGTATTCTGTTTATAATACTCAGCAGAATCTTTTTCATTTTCTGGTCCTTTTTTGACCACTTCCTTTTCTGGGACACTTTCAGCCTTTTCAGTTGCTATGTTTTGTCTTGGAAGTAATGTAGGCTTTACTTTAGTAAAACGGAATGGGTCCCTGCAATTAAATAGGAAAAGTCAAAATACAATCGTAACAATTCTATCCTTTCCTCCCTTTCCATCCATCAGCCCATTTTGTCACTTATCTTATTCCTCTTCAGCTATCCTCTCACTTTGGTCTGTCAGCCAACCTATCACTTTGTATTTATCAGTTATCGCACAACTATAGTGACACTATTAGATCATTTATATTTCATATAATACATTCTGGTTACAGCAATTTCAGTAGTTTATTTTGTACCATAAAAGCTTCTGTTTATTTTACAAAGCATTCATTATGGAAATTAGGTCATCCTTAGTAAGTTACATTGCCGTAGTACTTCCCAGTGATTTGTGATGTTGGTTCAGAAAGAGCAGTGACATGTTTCTCTATCTGTGGTTCTTCTCTCATTGGTTTTCTGTGTACACAGACAGCCAGTGAGAGAACCAGGGTATTGGCTTACTGAGGACACTGCAGTTTTATTTGTATATATGTATGTATATATGGTCAATCATTCTGTGTTTCATAATACACTTACCTAGGTGGCTGACCACATGTCATTAGTTTGTTGGTTTTTGTTGGAGTCACCCGAATATAGCATGCTACTTCGGGAATCTTCTCCTCTTTTCCATATCTGACATTAATGTTATGTCTAAAGCTTTTGAAGAAAAACACACAAAAAAACAGGTCAGGCTATTTATTACAGCACCCATCATAGAGGTTAAATCTCATTTTGTTAAAACAAAAATCAACAATCCCCCTCCCACCCACCCCCCTTTTGATTAATGTGATAATACAGTATTTACCTTCCATCATGCTCTGCAAATTTAGATGTATCAGAAGGGGAAAGGCAAAGTCTCTTTGTGCCTTGTTGGAAATTGTGTAGAATTTCTTCCACAAACCCACCATTCTGTTTCCATGGCTCCCCTTTCTTACCCTTTACATGATCTGGACAAACATCCAGATTTGATGATATCTGGGGCAATATCTGGGGCTCAGCTTTAAGAGGTAGCCTATTTAGGAAAGAAAAAGTGATTAGTGAAGTTTCATATTTCACACATTGGATGTTTTGTTTCTGGAATAACTGAGTGTGTTTAGGAGATGATAAAAGAAGCCATTATATATTATACATTATTATTATTTGGGTCGTATTGTAATGGTTAAATAATTCAATTTGATTTGTAAAACCTATGAAATGTCTGGACTAATTTCATCCTGCATTTCATCCCTGTTGGTGCTGTCTGATTAGGACCTCAAAAACCTTTTTTAATTCCTATATATTTTATTTATTTATTCCACCCCAGTATACCATGCCTGCTTATTTAATTTCAATCACTACAAATGGGCTAGGCTACACACATTCATTTTTTAGTTCATTTTTTATCTTGTGTGTTGTGAAAAATAACTAAAAGATGAAATTCATTAATATTTTAAGTACTTTAACCCGTATATTACTCCCATTCATTTTAAGATGAAACTGTTACATCTAAAGGAAAGCTATGTTATTTATAGAGGTGATGCCCATGAGCAAACCATCCTATATTCAAATTTTTATCGAACTCTGACCTCCATCTTCTAATAACCCTATTTAATATGATACCTGCAGCCACTGTCCACTTACCTCTCCGTAGACCAGGGAGCCTTCGGAATCTCCAGATGTTTTGGACTGCATCTCCTATAATGCTCTTACAGCCATAATACTGGCAAAGCATCAATGGAGATGTAGTCCAGAACATCTGGAGGGCCGAAGGTTCCCCACCCCTGTCGTAGACGTATGACAATGAATATCCTCTAGACTTGTGACAGCTTATAGTGACACTATCAGATCATTTGTCTCATATATTCGATTCTGGTTACAGCAATTTCAGTAGTTTATTCGTACCATAAAAGCTACTGTTTATTTTGAAATGTATTCCTTATGGAAATTAGGTAATGCTTAGTAAGTTACGTTGCCGTAGCACTCCCCACTGATTTGTGATGTTGGTTCAGAAAGAGAATTGACATGTTTCTCTGTCTGTATTTATTCTCTCATTGGTTTTCTGTGTACACAGCCAGCCAGTGAGGGAACCAGGGTATTGGCCTACTGAGGACAGTGCAGTTTCATTTGGATGTCCTAATAGCATTGTGGTCAATCATTCTGTGTCTCATGATACACTTACCTAGGTAGCCGAGCAGACATCTTTAGTTTGTTGGTTCTTGTTGGAGTCACCCGAATATAGTATGGTACTTCGGGAATCTTATCCTGTTTTCCAAAGCTGACATAGGTATGTCTAAAGGTTTTAAAGAAAAATGCAAAACACAAAATGGTCAGTCTACTTCTTATATCACCCATTGTAGAGGTTAAAATGTAAATTTGTTAAAACAAAATATCAACAATAGAAAAATGCACAAGATTCCGCCCATTGATTTATTTGATAATACAGTATTTACCTTTCATCAAGCTCTGCAAATTTAGATGTAACAGAAGGGGGAAAGCGAAGTCTCTCTATGCCTTGTTGGTAACTTTTTAGAATGTCTTCAACAAGCCCACCTTTCTGTTTTGATGGCTCACATTTCTTACCCTTCTTAGGATCTAGACAAACGTCCAGATTAGGTGATACCTGGGGCAATATCTGGGGCTCAGCTTTAAGAGGTAGCCTATTTAGGAAAGAAAAAGTGATTAGTGAAGTTTTATATTTCACACATTGGATGTTTTGTTTCTGGAATAACTGAGTGTGTTTAGGAGATGATAAAATAAGTCATTATTATTTGGGTCATATTGTGACCTATCTCTGACCTCCATCTTCCAATAACCCTATCTATTAGGATGCCTGCAGCCACTGTCCACTTACATCGCCGTAGACGTATGACAAAGAATGTCCTTTAGACTTGTGACAGATTAAAGTGGCACTATCAGATCATTTATGTTTAATATATTCGATTCTGGTTACTGCAATTTCAGTAGTTTACTTTGCACCATAAAAGCTTCTGTTTATTTTGAAATGCATTCCTTATGGAAATTAGGTAATGCTTAGTAAGTTACGTTGCCGTAGTACTCCCCACTGAATTGTGATGTTGGTTCAGAAAGAGCATTGACATCTTTCTCTATCTGTGGTTTTTCTCTCATTGGTTTTCTGTGTACACAGCCAGCCAGTGAGGGATCCAGGGTATTGGCTTAGTGAGGACACTGCAGTTTCATTTGGATGTCCTAATAACATTGTGGTCAGTTATTCTGTGTCTCATGATACACTTACCTAGGTAGCTGAGCAGACGTCTTCAGTTTGTTGGTTTTTGTTGGAGTCACCCGACTATAGTATGGTACTTCGGGAATCTTATCCTGTTTTCCAAAGCTGACATAGGTACGTCTAAAGGTTTTAAAGAAAAACGCAAAACACAAAATGGTCAGTCTACTTCTTATATCACCCATCGTAGAGGTTAAAATGTAAATTTGTTAAAACAAAATATCAACAATAGAAAAATGCACAAGATTCCCCCATTGATTAATTTGATAATACAGTAGTTACCTTTCATCAAGCTCTGCAAATTTAGATGTAACAGAAGGGGGAAAGCGAAGTCTCTTTATGCCTTGTTGGTAACTTTTTCGAGTTTCTTCCACAAGCCCACCTTTCTGCTTCCGTGGCTCCCATTTCTTACCCTTCTCAGGATCTAGACAAACGTCCAGATTAGGTGATATCTGGGGTAATATCTGGGGCTCAGCTTTAAGAGGTAGCCTATTTAAGAAAGAAAACGTGATTAGTGAAGTTTCATATTTCACACAGTGGATGATATATTTCTGGAATAACTGAGTGTTTTTAGGAAATGTTGGTTCAGAAAGATTATTGACATCTTTCTCTGTCTGAGTTTTTTCTCTCATTGGTTTTCAGTGTACACAGACAGCCAGTGAGGGAACCAGGGTATTGGCTTACTGAGGACACTGCAGTTTCATTTGGATGTCCTAATAGCATTGTGGTCAGTTATTCTGTGTCTCATGATACACTTACCTAGGTAGCTGAGCACACGTCTTCAGTTTGTTGGTTTTTGTTGGAGTCACCCGAATATAGTATGGTACTTCAGGAATCTTATGCTCTATTCCATAGCTGACAAAGGTACGTCTAAAGCTTTTAAAGAAAAACACAAAACACAAAATGGTCAGGTTCATTCTTACAGCAGTATAGAGATTAACATGTGAATTTGTTAAAACAAAACATCAACAACAGAAAAAAAGCACAAGATTCCCCCCTCCCCCATTGATTATTATGATCATACAGTATTTACCTTTCATCAAGCTCTGCAAATTTAGATGTAACAGAAGGGGGAAAGCGAAGACTCTTTCTGCCATGTTGGTACATTTTTCGAGTTTCTTTCACAAGCCCACCTTTCTGCTTCCATGGCTCCCATTTCTTACCCTTCTCAGGATCTGGACAAACATCCAGATTAGGTGATACCTGGGGTAATATCTGGGGCTCAGCTTTAAGCCTATTTAAGAAAGAAAAAGTGATTAATGAATTTTAATATTTCATACATTTGAAATTCTATTTCTGGAATAACCGAGTGTGTTTAGGAGATGGTAAAAGAAGCCATTATATATTATGCATTATTATTTGTGTTTTGAATTAGAAAAAAGGAAGAGAAGAGGAGCCTTTCCCGGTTTTTAAGGGTGTATCACCGGGAAAGTGAGGTTCCCGGTTTCCCTCTGATGAGCTGACAGGCGAAACGCGCATCAGGGCGTTTAGGGTGCTGTAGGGAATAGATGAGTACATCATTAAGATTGCCAATCTATGAGATGCTAAAGCAGATTTATCTACTATCTGATCATAAAATCTCCCGTATATTAGAGGAGTTCTTAATAAGGGCATTCATTTCTCCAACAAGCCGTCTCCCCTTGCTATACCATTGACGTGGGGGGGCCGGTATTTGGGGTATTAATAGGCTAGGGATAGTGAGGATATGTTCCATTGACAGAAGGTGCCCTTGAAGGCACAACAGGGAGAGCATGTAAGAATCTTTTGTTCTTTCCCCCTTCTCCTTCCTTTTATGATACAACACAAACGGGTTACTCTATGATCTACATTAGTTTGTAGCCAACGAGGTCGGGATATAGATAGTGCACTTATTTCTTCCGGTGGGGTCTTGGGAATTGAGATATGAACATTTAACCAACAGGAGATTCCCTGTACTTTAACTTCAGACCGTACAGTAACCATAATAGTAAATTACAGCTACAATAACAAGCAATAAATGTTATATTTGGTCCATTAGTTTAACTGTGTGAATGGTTACAAATTAGTAAACGGGTGAATTAACACCAAGGGGAATGTAAAGCTAATAGAAATTCTAGAATATCTAGGGGATATTATCCTTCATCCAGAATAATTACCTGCCTATAATACACTAGCGCATAGATTCATCTACCCTTACATGTACCTATTTGACAATAAGTGGAAAACTTTATACATAAATTCACTTATGTGATTTAAGATAATTATACTATAGGACTTTATTCAAGGGGCTGTTATGTCCATAGAAGGTACCTAACTATACAATTTCCTTTTAGTGAAATCATCTAGTTATGATTTATTATTATTTTTTGTTTATCATCTTTATTATTATTATTTTGTGTTTAATTTTTTTTGTATGATAGTGTGTGTGGTTAGTGTCCCCACTAGAAAGGGACTTTTAATTGACTTATTAAAAGTGACGTTTTAAATTATTATTTGTGTGGTTAACTAATTAACTTTGATTTTTCAAATTAATGTCATCCTGCATTTCATCCCAGGATGGTGCTGTCTGATCAGGGTCTCAAAACACATTTATTAATTTCTACAGATTTAACTTTTTTTTTTGCACCCCTGTTTATCATGCCTGCTTATTTTATTTCAAATTGTATCACTACAAATGGACTACGCCACACACATTCATTGGTTTGCATGTTTTAGCTTATCTGATAGGTACTCTTCTTAACAGATGAAAATTCAATTCACATATTAAGGATTTTAACCCTTATATTACTCCCATTAATTTCAAGATGGAACTATTAAATGTACAGGAAATCTATGTTATTTATAGAGATGATGCCTATTAACAAACCATCCTTTATTCCAATCTCTATCTTACTCTGACCACCATCTTTTAATAACCCTATCTAATACGATGGCTGTAGCAGCTATTCCCTTACCTGTCCGTAGAAGGCTGGATCTTTGGCTGTTTTTTGAATTCTTTTTTAGTAGAATTCCTGGATGGGAGTTGAGTACCCCACAACCATAAAACCAGGGGATGTTCAAATATAGAAATAGTGTTAACCATTGTCTCTGTAAAAAATCCCACTGCAATGTAAATGCTTGTGAAATGGTAGTAGAACCAGCAGGAGTAGGGTTTCTGTCCTCTGGTCAGCGACATCACAATCGAACCTGATTGTCTAAATGCAGAAACAATGACTGACTGCATAATGTCTATGGAAATTAAATCAAATTTAAAATTTAAATAGAATTTAAATGATAGGTACAGAAACCACTTAATTTTACAATTTGTTGTTGTGGCGTTAAAGGGATGCTGCGGCCACCATAACACCAAGATCAAGATTTTGTAATTTTGTCTTTGTTCATTGACAATATTAACAAAGTTCTCTAAGCACCAACACAACTTTAGCTTAATAAAGCAGTGTTGGTGTATAGATGATTCCATGCACTGTCAATGCACTGCTCAATTTTCTGCCATTTAAGAGTTAAATCAGTTTTGTTTCTGTTTATGCAACTCTAACCAAACCTTCCCGGACAGTGACTCACACAACCAACTTGACAAAAAAAAAGTTTCATTTTCAATCAGATGTAACAGCACTGTGTGTTCACTTTGCAGATTTTATGTACTGCACTGTTAATTGACCATTCATAGCACACAGGAGGTTCCTGCAGACTATTAACAGAATATGGGAGATGAAATTCTAATTTAAGCAGACTGTGCAATAAAGAAAGTTTCAACATTAGATCTCTCTTCACAGGAAATGTGTATGGGAGACTTTTTAGGTCAAGTTCAGGGAGGTGTGATTAGAGCTGCATAATCAAAGTGATTTGACCCCTGAATGGTAGAGAATCGAACCGCTTAAATAATTCCTATATATTTTACTTTGGGGGGTTTATGCACCACTGTATACCTTGCCTGCTTGCTTTATTTCAATACCTATAAATGGGCTAGGCTAAACACTTTCATTTTTTTTTGTTCATTTTGTATCTCTTCTGTTAACATAAATAACAAAAAGATGAAACTTAAATTCACATTGTAAGAATTTTAACCCTTCTATTACTTTTCATTTCAAGATGACACTGTTAAATCTACAGGAAAGCTATGTTATTTATAGAGGTGATGCCCATTAAGAAACCATCCTTTATTCTAATCTCTGTTGAACTCTAACCCATTCTTCTAATAAGCCTATCTAGTATGATTCATGTAGCAGCTAGTCCCTTACCTGTCCGTAGAAGGCTGGATCTTTGGCTGTTTTCTGAATTCTTTTTTAGTAGAATTCCTGGATGGGGGTTGATTACCCCACAGCCATAAAACCAGAGGATATTCAAATATAGAAATAGTGTTACTCATTCTTTTAATAAATTATCCCACTGCAATGAAAATGCTCGTGAAATGCTAGTACAACCAGCAAGAATAGGGTTCTCTATTCTCTGGTTAGTGACATCACAAATGATGTACTAGATCCCCAGATGTTGCAGAATTACAACTCCCATGATGCTTTGCATGCCTTTAGAATAACAACGCATCATGGGAGTTGTAGTTCTACAACATCTACATCTGGGCATCTGCCTATTAGCATTGTTCTAGTTGCAGAGAGAATGGCTAACTGCATAATGTCTATGGAAATGTAATCTAATTGAAAATGGATATGGAGTTTAAATGATAGAAACAACTTAAAGGGACACTATCGTCAACATATAAAAGCAAGAAAGACAGGTCCCCCAGCCGTCTTTTTTGCTTTTATATGAAATTGCCATTAAATAAAAAAAACTGAGTAAGTTTTAATAATAAAACTTATCCCCATTCCAGCGCCGAGCTCCCCGCTAGGCCACGCCCCCTTTTTCATCAAAATGATGAAATCGCAGGGCACAATGGGATGCTTCTCCTTGAGAAGCGTCATCGCAATGTGGTGCGCATGCTCGAATCCCACCCTATGAAGAAACTCAGTGCTCAACCGCGCATGTGCACAGATCGCAAGCTGAGCTGACTCACAGCTCAGCTCGCTTTCTATACCCGCCCCCCTCCTCAGCCAAACTGTGTGTTTGCATGTTTGCATAGAAACACTATATATAGAGATGTCTCTATATATAGTGTTTCTATGCAAACACACAAGTAGTAAAAAATTAAAGACCTACACACACACTCTTTCTCCATCCATCCATCCCCATCATCCATATCCATCCATCCCCATCATCCATATCCATCCCCATCATCCGTATCCATGCCCATCATCCATATCCATCCAGTGTAATGATATTGATGTTACAAAGTTTTGGAGTCCAGTAGCCAGATCAGCAATGTTTTCTGCCAGAGGTAGCCACTCGTTACCCAGGTGGTTGAGGCCCTGAGCCTTGAGTGGCCTTCTGGTCTTAAGCAGAGATGGGAGACTGGAACAGAAAGATGATAATCGTAGTGAGGCAAGCCGAGGTCAGTGGGAAGGAGAAGCAGCAAAGTCAAAACAGTCCAAATTCAGCAACAGGAAGGAGAAGCAGGAACACGCTGGATTAGAGAGTACAGGAACCACAATAATCTGGCAAAGGTACAGAGACAGGAAGTGGCTTTTATAGGCCAAGGACCAGACACCTGACCAGACACAGCTGAAGTGAGTTGTCACTGATAACCTTGACTCTACAAACAATAGTATCAGATCTCAGGTAAATTTGCAAAAGGCAGGCTGGTGTACTGGTAAGGAAAAGGTTTAGCACCATTTAAACCAGGGTTCGAAACCCAGCAGAGTCAGTTCCTCACATTACCTCCACCTCTACAGGCGCAGCCTCTGGATGCTCTATTTCCTGGTTTAGCAGGGTACTGTGCATGGAAAGACTGAAGAAGATCAGGAGCATGAATATTGTCCACTGGTTCCCATGATCTATCCTCCTCACCATAGCCTTTCCAATGAACCAAGTATTGAAGTTTGTTGCGGAAGATCCTGGAGTCAAGAATTTTTTCCACCTCGTATTCATCTTCACCATCCACGAGGACTGGTGGTGGGGCAGGCAAGGCTCGACCAGGGAAAGTATTTTCATGAAAAGGTTTTAGTGCCACGTGAAACACCGGATGTATTTTCATGGAATCCGGAAGTTGCAGACGGAAGGTGACTGCATTGATCTGAGCGATTATCTTAAAAGGTCCCATGAACTTTTGACCCAATTTATGAGAAGGAATCCTAAGCTTAAGATTCTTTGTTGACAGCCAAACCTTGTCACCAACATGATAAACTGGGGCCTCCTTTCTGTGCCTATCAGCAGCTCTTTTGTAACATTCCTGAGCCTCCGAAAGAGTCTCCTTCAACAGTTCTTGGGAATCTCGTAAGGCGGTTAGCCGGTCAGTGACTGCAGGAATGGGAGTAGTAATTGGGAGACTCACTAGAAAGGTTGGATGGTAACCATAATTGGCAAAAAATGGGCTCAGAGAAGTGGAGCAGTGTTGGGCATTGTTATAGGCAAACTCCGCCGTGGGTAGAAAATCCAGCCAGTCATCCTGCAGGTAACTAATATAGCACCGCAAATATTGTTCTAAAGTCTGGTTGGTTCGCTCAGTCTGTCCATTACTTTGTGGATGAAAAGCTGAAGACAGATTTACATTAATACCTAGAATAGAACAAAAATATTTCAAAAAATGAGATGTAAACTGCACTCCCCTGTCAGAAATTACTTCATCAGGCACTCCATGCAAGCGAAATATTTCCCGAATAACAAGGTCAGCAGTCTGTTTAGCTGAAGGGGAGACCACGAGCTGGTATGAAATGACTCATCTTGGTTAACCGGTCCACAACAACAAGAATAGTAGTGTGTTCCTTAGAGGGAGGTAGTTCCACAATAAAGTCCATGGATATAGATCCCCAGGGACGATGAGGAATCGGAAGAGGCTGAAGCAAGCCAACAGGGATGAGCGAGGAGTCTTATGTCTGGCACATACTTCTTAACATCCTCATAATATTTAGGCCACCAAAAGGATCGGGTAAGTAGTTCTTGTGTCTTTCGGATTCCTGGATGACCTGCTGGTTTAGAGTCATGGTAGAGGCGTAAAACGTCCAGTCGCACTGATTCTGGAACAAACAGACGCTGTTGAAAAATCCAAAACCCATTAAGCATGGTCATATGAAGATCACGAGGAGGATCACGAAAAACTGGATCTTTAGAGTAGCCCTTTTTAATGCGAGACATTAGATCAGAAGGAAAGGTAACTCCTAAAAATCTGCTCTCCGGCAAGATGGTGGCCTTGGTTACTGTAGTATGGAGGGGGTCAGCTATCCTAGACAAGGCATCCGCCTTGCCATTTCTGGAACCAGGGCGGTATGAAATAAAAAAATTAAACCTTGAGAAAAATAGGGACCAGCGTGCTTGTCTGGCTGACAGTCTCTTAGCGGATTGGATACATTCCAGATTTTTGTGATCTGTGAGGACGGTAATTGGATGGGTGGCTCCCTCCAAGAGATGTCTCCATTCGGTGAAGGCAGCTTTTATAGCCAAAAGTTCTTTATTCCCTATGTCATAATTTCTTTCTGCTGGTAACATCTGGCGGGAATAGAAGGCACATGGATGTAACAACATCTTAGGTCCAGTCCTTTGAGACAGTATAGCCCCAACAGCTGAATCAGAAGCATCTACCTCTACAGTAAATGGCAATTCTGGCTGAGGATGTACCAAGATAGGAGCAGATGTAAACAGAGTCTTTAATCTGGAAAATGCAGTGTCAGCCTTATTGGACCACTGAAAAGGAGTCCCTTTACGTGTAAGTTCAGTGATCGGTGTAATAACGGCAGAGAAATTCTTAATGAAACGCCTGTAAAAATTGGCAAACCCCACAAATCTCTGTATATCTTTTTCATTCTTGGGGATGGGCCAGTCCAGCACAGCTTTAATTTTACTTGCGTCCATACTTAAACCTTTAGGAGTTATTACATACCCCAGGAACTGAATTTCTGTTTGTTCAAACTCACATTTTTCCAGTTTAATGTATAGGTGGTGGGTACGAAGGCGCTCAAGAACAATGCAGACCTGTTTTCTGTGATTTTCAAGATTATCAGAAAATATCAGGATATCATCCAAATATGCTACAACAAA